AAAAACAACTTATCAGCTTATTGCAGTTTGGTACCGCTATAAGCTAATCCAAACACTTTTTACAAAACTCCAGTTTGATACCGCATAAGTTAATAAGCACTTTTACAAAAAAACATAAGTTGTTTTAAATAAGCTTACCCAAACACCCCCCAAGTATGGGACCATGAGTTTTAGGTAATTTTTTTATAGTTATACTTGAAGAACAAACCTGTAATTCGAACGATCGGCGAGACCTACCGGCGTGCGACCTCCGATGACGGATCACCGGCTATTTCTTCTATTAATTGCATCTCGTCATTGGAATAAACTGTAAATTACAGATACTAACTATGAACAGGAAGAAATTCATTTTGTCCGTTTTAGGGTTTGTTATCTGCATCGCAACACCTACCGCCGGGGAATCATCGACGTGCTTGGCGGTGTATAAAGAAGGAGGTGCACCGGCGGTGTTTCAGTCACCAAAATGCCCTCGATGGAGCTTACCAGAACATGATCCTCGCCGACAAGCCACAGCTGGGAGATGTCAATCGGCCACACGTCAGGGCCGACGAAAGTCTTCGGAAGATCGCACTTTCTGTACTCTTGACATCCGCATTCCTTTTCCAGGTAACGTGTGTGTTTTCTGTAGGGTAATCGCGTTTGATTTTGAATTTTGTTTGTGTATGCATATGCAATATTATGATAAGTTGCTGAATACGTATATGCATACTCGTGCCGTTCTACGATAGTGTTTTAATTGATTTATACTTTTGAACTTCAAATATTATTACAAACGATCAATATTTTGATACTTTAAATCATACGAGGAGTAACACAAATAAGAAAAGGAAGTTGGTTCTAAACTTGCAAAAGGATTCATTTTAACTTCTAATTTTGGAAGTACTTTTGAGTTCTGTATAAAGGTTTTCTCTTGGGAAGTAGCACGGTTACGTTCCAAACTCAAAACTCAGCCTGGGTACCAAGCCAAATAGGTTTGTCTCGAATTGCTTCTTCTACCATATGTTACTTCCTGCAAATCCAAATATTAGTTCACTTAGCAGACAGTCCAAAATAGATTCTTACACAATGTACTCAAGCTTGCTAAATACTATGCAGAGTTACATCTGCTGTTGCCTGTTTGTCTTTCAAAAATTTGAAAAGCAATCTAAATCAGGGGACTAGGTTGAGAAAACATCAACAGTATATCTAATAGTTATCATAAGATGATATATAGTCGAAATCTCAGAAATCATGTTGGCCACTTGGCCCTTTAAGTCATTTGTTATTTTTTAAAGTTATGTGGAAACTAAGTATTGTGTTTCTCATAACAATTAAAGCTTGTGTTTCTTATGGTTGATTTATCATACTGGTGTAGGCCCCAATGGCATTAGAGATACGTCAGTTGGCATTGTGGCAGTTTTTGATGGACATAATGGGGCAGAAGCTAGTGATATGGCCTCAAAGCTGTTATTGGAGTATTTCACACTACATGTTTACTTTCTTCTTGATGCCACATTTTCTTTTTTATCCAAGATATCAAAAGGAATGTTACCAAATAAGGAAGAACACGACTATGCTTCTCAAATGCTAGGTTGGGATGAGAAATTGGGTGAACATGTGCTACATATTGGAAGGTCTGTCTCTCCCTCTCTCTTGATCTCACTCACATAGCCCGGCATACACAATCTCATAATCTCTCTTCATAGCATACATCAATTACCAACCCTTGCATGCACTGATGCATGATGTAGCCAGCAGTAGGCAATGGCGGGGCCTTGGCCCCCAAGCTCGGAAGTTGCAATGAATCAAGTAAAGGTTTAGCATCATATCATGGTGAGACCTAATCCAATAATACAACTTACGGGGCGTGTTATGATTATGATCATATTAGTTTGCAGCCAATTAGGTTTATCTTAGAATGTCAGAAGGTTTATATTTGGTATGGTACAGAGCATGATATTTCAAGTTTATAGGTCAATAGCTAACATGACAATCCATGCTACCAAAATGATAGGCATGACTACATGTGAGACACATTGAGACTTAGTTATCCTTAATCCTACATTGCTGAAGTATGACTTAGTGTTGGAGTATATATCATCATGCAATATCCACTCCCAACCTTTTATCTTTGAACCATAAGTTTAGTAATTTCTACATGGCCCTCAATTTAAATTGCATTGCATTGAAAATGTAAAGCAAATGCTCCACTGTTTTTTGAGGCCTTGATATACTTTAACAAATGAAAAGAAACCATTTACCTTGTCAATCTATTGTTGTAGGAAAGTAGCAATTTTTTCTTCTACTACATAGATGGCAATACATTCTGCATTGACTTTTCCTCCTCTCTTGGGTTTTTTTTTTGTTTATTCTGAATAGGTACTTGATAAGATTATCTTTTCTCTCAATTTGACTTAATTTTTTTTGCACAGCCCACCTTAAAAAGTGTTTCTTGCTCTTGCCTACTTGTAGGTAAGAATTATTAGCATGGCCTGGGTGTGCTGTACACACGTGTGAGTCATGGGGGAAAAATACATCGACATGCTAGACATTATACTTACAAGTACACAAGAAGGTATATTATTGTGTTGCCTTGGGCTTAAAATTTGGAAGGATAAAAATTATACCATTTTATATACCAAGAACCCTAATCTTGAGTAATTAGTTGACCGATCTGGTCTTGTATAAGTAGCATGACACTCTAAGACTTTTATAAGGGACACGACTCATACTCATGCAGGTCATGAGCTATCCTATGGATTGTCTTGTGATACTATGTCTCCAATATGAGGTATACGTTTGTTGCTTAGATTTGCTACATCGATTCACAAAAACCAAAAACGATGGAATAGACACTATGGACTTAATTGGAGTGATATATGGTATGAAACTTACTAAGAAAGGACTTTCAAATTCAGAGGAACCATGGAATTAATGAAAATGGGCATAGTTGATGATTTAATCACACAAGGGAATAAAGTGATATATGTTGTACATTACATTTAGATTGATTTTGGCATGCCTTGAGTTTATAGGTGAATCAGCTCCTCAATGGTCTTTTAAGTGCATGACACCTTTTGGAAATCAGTCAGATGTATAGAACATTATAATACATCAAAATATAAGGATGGAACAAAGCTTAGCTGCCTAACAAATCACTTTTTTTAAAGCTTTGACATTCTTCTGGTTTACAACCCTTACCTCTACTTCCAAACAGTGAGAGAAAAAGGCAGAATTTGGAAGAGTTAAATCATAGCCTGAAATTTCATAATAATTTGGAGGAAAATTTGGGTATTTATGGGCTGAAAGTCTCTGTCAAGATTAGACACATACTGTCAATAGCTGACGACTGTTGAAAGTTGACCATAAGAGTCTAGTAACCACAAATTCAAACAGGGCCTTAAAAGTGCCTAAAGCACTATTTTGGTTTTACCACGCTGCATCTTGATGCATATGATATAGTGCTCGAAAGTGTCTAAACTCTCTCTTTTTATCTGAAGTCCAACTGAATAATGTAAGGAAGCCAAGACTTGAAACCCTTGCACAAGTGTTATTTGTAAACTCTGTGTTGGGATTCTCTGATACTGTTAAATAATTCCTAAAAATATTATAAACATTACTAATATCTCTCTAACATTAGGCCTATTAATTGCAATGTCACCTTCTAATGTGTCTCACACAAGCAATTCCAACATCAAATACTCAATGACAAGAAGTATTTGGCATCCTTTTCGCAGGATTAAGTTTACATTGTCAACCATCTTTGATGGAGCTTTCCACTTGGAAATTCTGAAGGAGTCTTTGTTGAAGGCGATTGATGATATTGATGCAGCATTCTGTAAGGTGAATGGTAGTTGTCAATTTTCTTTTATTTTCTTCTTTTCCCTCTCTCTCTAGTGTGACTGCATCCATTATTTTTTTGGGTATCTACTAAATTTTGAAATTCATATTGGTGTTGTTGGTTTATGGTTTGTTTATTACTTTTTGAAGGAGGCATCTAGATACAGCTTCAACTCTGGCTCTACCGCAACAGTTATATTAATGGCAGATAGTCAAATTCTAGCTGCCAACGTTGGAGACTCAAAGGCTTTCCTATGCTCTGAGACGTTCCAGTCTCCTCCCGAGGCCAAAGGTTAGAAAGGACTTTGGCTGTTAACTGAGCCATTTCTTTGTGAAATGAACTGAGTGGGGGAGCTTAGTATGATTGAAAAGGCATGCAAATTATGCCATAACCAGATTAATGGACACATTTGGTCTTTGTACTGGTCATGCATAGTTGATTATGGCCTTCAAAATATCTGATCGTCAAAGACTAACTATGCACTTCTAATAATGAGATAAGAAATGCTGTTAATCGATGGTTCTTGTAAATGGCAGCTACTCTATTGAGATTGTACAGAAAGAGAAGACGTGATGGTGCCTCGGTACGCATGAAAGATTATGGAAACTTTAAATTGGCAGCATCTGACGGGTTACCTCACTTTTCTGCCAAAGAACTGACTAAGGATCACCATCCAGACAGGGTTGATGAAAGGTCCCGAGTAGAATCTTCTGGAGGTTATGTCCTTGAGTGGGGTGGCGTATCCCGAGTTAATGGTCATTTGGCTGTTTCTCGTGCTATTGGTGATTTGCCTTTTAAAAGGTGAAGTTGCATTTTGATAATTTAACATCTCTGTACTTGGATTGACATTTGCATGGGTAGGTGAAGGAGCTAGCTACTTGTGGGATTTCCTTTCTTTTTCAACTGGAAGCCTTAATTAGACCTTTAGTTGAAGTCAGAAAAAGCTATTACTAATTAACTCCTACTGTGTTTCCTCAGCTTTGGTGTTATATCCGTTCCTGAGGTCACAGATTGGCAACCTCTGACAGCTAATGATAGTTATTTGGTGGCTGCATCTGATGGCGTTCTTGAAAAGCTGAGCTCACAGGATGTCTGTGATTTGTTTTGGGAACTACATACTGATGCCCCCCTGGAATTAGAGTACAGTTCTTCATGTTCATACTCGTTAGCTGATTGCATTGTTGATACTGCTCTTGATAAAGGCAGTATGGATAACGTGGCAGCTGTTGTAGTTCCATTTGGACTACAAAATCTGCCACCCAAACACTCCAGTGAAGTCAGACTGCAGAATTACGTGGATGAACAGTCTGGTAATTTCTGGTATTAAAAGTTTCTACATGTGGTGCACTGGTGTTATGTGGAGCAAACATTTGCATTGGTTTCAAGTTAAAATCATTAGTGTTTGTTTCAGTGTACCTAGAGATGTGGAATGTGATTCTAGTTGCTCCATACCACTAAAAACAATCTACATATAAAACTGCAAATCTTCTGTGTGCCACAATTCTTATCTCTACTTGTTCCACAATGTAAGTTGGAACTGCCATTTTCTTCTTCCTACTATATCAAAGTGTAAATTCTTTGTGTGACTCTTCCATTTCAAGATATTGAGCTACAATTGGTTGTTCTATAAGTTGGAAGTGTCAATCGTGAGTATCTAAGTGATATACCTAAATATTTGAATATTCCCTTCTTCATTTTTGAGCTGGTTTTGGGTTTTGCTGACCATGTAGTTGCTTATATCACCCTTATTGTCTTCTGATGGCAAAAATTTTGAACTTGTAGAATTGGAGAATGCTGATTCAGTTGACAAGTTTGGGCGGTTATTGGTAAGGTCAATCTTTTTGTTATGGAACAAGCCGTCTTAACGCAAAATCTGCCATGATAATTTTGATGAATAACAGATCCATTATGTTTTTTTTTTTCTGTTTTGGGACTCTATCCCTCTTGTAAATGGCTATTCTCTTAGTCGAGGATTTAGAATAAAATACAAGAAAGATCAAAGGCTGCTGAATTTTCAATGCGTTTCTGGCTTCTCGAAGAATAATGTATTATTATCCTCATGTTTTCAGTAGTGGGAAATATGATGAATTTTCTATATTTTTCTCTTTATCCTTATAATTTTGCATTCACATTATCATATTAAGCAGAAGTGTGAGGAAATCATTCAGCAGTAAGAACATTTTTTTATCAGAGAATCTGTCGTTTGAGTTGGCTATTAATAGTATTTGGTGGCAATGAACTTTCAGTGGTTAAACATATGAAAAACAACATGATCTGTCTGAATTAGGTAATTAAAAAGAAAAACTTAGGCATGAATGCGGTCATGCATAGCGGAAAATTTATAGTCTGATTTTACATAGATTTCTATCAAATTGTTTTTAATCACTATAATATAACTATGATGGGTGTACTATGTTCCGATTTTCTTTTCATCCACACATTGCAAAGAAATCCGATCTTTGTGCCAATTGTCCTAAGGTTGCGACATTCAGGTACTTCCATGATCATTTTAGAAACGTGGATTTCTGTATTCCCTTGTTTCCAATGTTAGGTTGTGTATGGAAGATCCAATCCCTTACATGGTAACAATTTGCAGTATTCAATAGCTTCTGTTTCCAGCATTTGTAGTCAGTTAATATTGTTGCAGATTATGTTTCCACTCGTAAAACTGATATTTTTATGCAAGAACATGATACATCAAGTCTTTTACTCTCAGTATACAATATGTCTAAGCTGTTTGTCAACTTCTAGAATGATTCATGTCATTGATTATTCTTTGCCTTTTACCCGATATTATGGTATAGATTGTTATATCTTCATAAAGGTTTTTCTATCCTGAGCTGGAAATTGTGAATGATGCTGGCCTTTTACTTTGCCCTAGGTTGAAGGAAAACACGACACTTATGGATGTTTCTATCTATCTGAAAGCTTAAATGAAAAGGATGACTACACATTCTGGATTGCAAAGGATGATCAGGACTCGACATATGCCTCACCGGCCTTACCTGACATGCTTGATCATAGCTATGGTTAGTAGAGTTGTTTTTGTGATTGCCTTGATTTCAGTTATTGGTTCTCTCCATTGTTTAGTACATTGGATACCTTCTATGGATCATTCTCTTTCTCTCTTTTTTCTTCTTCCATGTTTTTTTTTGTCTTTCGTACTTTCAGTGCTTTTAATGGCGTTTGGCGTTATGGGTGGTATTATTGCATGTACAGACTGAAACACTTGAATGCATATCATAGCTGCCATTGCTATTTATAGAACATCTCCTATAACTTAACTATAACAATGGATGCTATAATAAATTTCTAATTTGTTATGCAAATGCAGGTGGACCTTTACATTTATACCGTGACCAGATGATGTGCTTGCACTTTGGGAGGTCTAGTGGTGGAGATAGAGATCAGTGCATTAATCCTGATGGCCTTGCAAGTTTTCTTGGTTTTTTAGAATCACTCCCTGCACATAGTGTTGAACCGAATCAAGAATCTTTTGAGCGCACCACTCCTAACACAAGGTTCTTCTTTATTTTTCTTTTTATTTCCTTATCTTTCTCTTAACTCTGTTCATGCAAAGCCAGTGCTCTCTCCACGGTATATAACCTGAAGAAGGTGATTGACACCAAAACTTATCACTAAATTCATGACAATGAACCACATGATCCAAGCCACAAAGCATGTAGATCAGACCTCGTTAATTCTGCCTTGACTGACTTTCATTTGTAAAGTAGGAAGAGTTAATGTCTGTGGAAAGAGCTCCAAATATACAATGCTGTTTCTTTATTACATGAATATTCACAAGCGGAATAGAATAACACCAAGATCTCATTTATCTGTTGGTATTCATAATTCATGTTGATCACTGCAAGCTATTTCTACTTATTCCCTGCTTCCTGCTCCATATTTGTTGCTCTAGGGGATCATGCATTAGATGGAGGGTTGGTAGCATTTCAACCAGTCATCTAGGATTTCAATGATTATCTATTCTTTTAACAGTTTGTGGTTGATACTTTCTATCTTAATGCTTATAGGTATATACTGAAAAAAAGATTTGATCGTGGATCGTATGGAGAAGTTTGGGTGGCTTTTCATTGGAATTATCTCCATCAAAGCAGCTATTCTAATTGGAGAGAGAAGAACAAAACATTCCAATCTAATACCACTCATCATGGCACCGAAGATCAAACTTCACAAAGACGCACAGCCCAAACTGACTTCAGTTCTAGTTCTCCTGATGCTAACTTGTTCATTTTGAAGCGTATAATGGTAATCCTGTTAACTTGTATAGAAGCCAATTGTTTCTCCTTGATCCCTTAGGTGCATCATCATTCGCAAAACCTTTCACACTTATTCTAGCATGTATAGGTTATAGTTCAAAAAGATATCCAATTAAAAAATGATGATTTCTTGGGCTATATTTTTTTTAATTTGTTATATTTTAAAACGAAGAAATGTTTTTCGATGGCACATTTCTTGTTCTTCATAAGCTAGATAAGCAGTCAGGAAAGCCGTTCTGGAAAGTCACCAGGTCTATTTTGCGGAACTTGAAAATATCTTCAATATGTCTATTGACCGTCAACAAGAAAGTTACCTTGATGTAGGTGGTGAGAAGAATTCTTGTGGCCTGGTTCATAACATAGTTTGCATGACTAAATTCAATCTGCTTAGCAGAAGTTATGGTTTTCTTTATGGAATATTTACTATGATGGAAAGTTCTAATTAGTGCTTCCTTCGTATTTCAATATATTCGTGTCTGTCTTCATATATGCTTTATGGTCTTTAATTAAGTATTTGTAGTTCTTACATTATCTATTGGGATGAAAAAAGAATATTATACAACTCTGGTGGAAGGCTTGAAATTATATATCCCAAGGTTTATGGGTCATGTAGTTTTCATAAGGTTCTTATGGCATCACATTCGGAAATGACCATCTTGATAAGGTGTAATATTGCACAGCTATACTGCACATATTAAGGCCTAAAGGAATATAAATAAGAAAGAAGCAAGATTTGCAATGAAATACACATTACTTTGCATGGTTTCGGTTATATATGAGTTATACAAGTTTATTCTCAGAACTGCTATTTGATTTTACTTAAATTTCAAATAGCTGATATTATTTGCAACATATCATTAATCTTCTCTAAGTATCTGACTGAAAGAGTAAAAGGTAGGCAAATGTATTTTCAATTTTTAGTATATTCCTCAAAGTTCTAATTAATGAAATCTACCTTTTTCTATTTATAATTTTATGGTCTCACAATTAATGAAATATCACAAACTGAAAACAGGTAGAAAGGGGCAATGCAGTTTACCTAAGCGGTCTACGAGAGAAGTATTTTGGTGAACTATTTCTGAATGCCTCAGCATATTTGGGAGGTACATTATCAGTAAAGGATTCAGGGTATCCTTTAAAAGAATCATGCCCATATATGTATAATTTGCTAAGAAGGAATGAATCAGCTGCTCCAGAAATAGAGGATCCTTGGCAACCAGAACATATGTTTTCGAGAAGGAAAAGACAGCCACGGGTTGCTTATGAAGAAGGCCTCCAGCATATTGCAAGATATATCGAGTCTCTTGAGTCTAGGTCAAATGAGATATGGCTTGTATTCCGTCATGAAGGCATATCATTATCAAAGCTTTTGTATACAGCAGATGATATGGGAAGTAGTTCTGGCTCAACAAATGATGACCACATCAAACATGTTCGTATATTGCATCCCTCAAAATGGTGGCATTGGTTGAAGACGACAGAAGCAGGCCAAGAGGAAATGCAGAATCTTATATGGCAGTTGGTGTGTTCTACTAATTGTTAGAATTCTTCTTCCCTTATCATCAATACTCTACAGGAGTTGTTTCATGAGAAAGTGACTTTGAAGTTTTATGCTCTATTTATCCGTCCCAACATAAATGTCCACAATAAAAAGGCACACAGTTTTGAAGTGTAATTATTACACTTTTTAATTAACTAGATGACAGTTTTACCCTTAATAATAGAGGGAGTAATGAATTTCTCCATATCATAAATAAGGGTAGAATTGGCAAGTAGATCCTTATTTTGAGACGAACTAAAATAGAAATATGGACACTTATTTTGGGACGAAGGAAGTAATTGCTAGCTTCTATTTCTGACCAATCTAACATGTTACTTTTTTTCCTTCCTATTTCATCAGTTAATGGCACTTAAATCCTGTCATGACCGCAACATCACCCACAGGGATATTAAACCTGGTGAGGACATTTCTTTATTTTAAGCAAAATAGTATGATCCCTTTCTTTTCACGTCTTCCCTGTTCTCCTCCTGGTTTATAGTGTTTTTCTGCTCTAGCCGAGTGCAACTCAGACTGTGTTTCTTGTTTTCATCTATAGACATTTTTTTTTTTCTCATTTTAGAACTAATGAAACTAAAGAGGATTACAACAAAAGGTACCAAAATAGATGGCTCATTCATATGCAAGCCACTTCTAAATTTTTGTACCCCACAGAGAGCCACCTTGCTCCAAACTTATTTTTTAACCTTGACAAGTCTTTTGACAATTTCTGCATCTTGGAGTTGCTTTGCATCTTTATGGTATCATTTATGTTCCTTTTGATGTATGTTCTGACGTAGAATATTTGTTCTTTTTTCCTTTCTTGCAAGAGAACATGATTGTTTGCTTTGAAGATCAAGATTCTGGAAGATGCTTGAAAGGAAGCCCAAGCAGAAATGAGAACTATACTACTAAAATGTATTCTCAGAGTAATTTATATTTCCTCGGTGTTGCCTTTTACTCTCGTTTTGTTAGGTCATGTTGTTTTGTAGAATATTTGACGTTACTTAGGTTTGGTATTGCATTTCTACAAGATCTAGCACATGCTTTACATATGACATCAAAAACCAAGCTTTTTTTTATTTTTAAAGGCACAAAAACTTTTGAAGAGGTAAACCCTCCTAGAGATCCTTAACATGGATAGTATTCTTCCTTGCACTACAGCTAACTACTTCGGTTAATTCACCTTTTCTTTTATCTCTCTCCACTGCCACCCCTTTTTTGGTTTTGGCCCACCCCTGGCTCTCCTAGGGTCCTCTTGGTTCGAGTCTCCTTTCTCAAGTAGTATCGGCTTATCTTCTCAATTGGTGCCACTCCCACCTTCTCACGATGATCCTGGTTTTACACACACGACCTAGGAACATGCATAAGGAAATCATAATATTACAAACAAGAACCGAAGAAAATGGAACCCCCATTTTTAAAAATTCTGGCTAGATGCATACAAGTACTGTAATGCGCCTCTCCGTGGGTATCTGGTAACGATGTATGTACCTAATTTACTATGTCTAATACATTCAGGTACACTCATTAGATTGCCAGAAATATTTTGTGTTAATTTGTGTTGAATAGTAATAAAAAAGACGATTAGGTTCTTTTTAACACCAACTGCTTGAATTTGGATTTTGTTTCATGGCAACTTAGTCTGTGCCAAGTAATTATTCCATGACAGGGTTGTAGATACTTCATTCAATTTATCACCCTTTAAAGTTGGTTTTGGCATTTCAAATTTGATTTTGCATGTCATATGTTGACTGTCATAATCTCATCATACATTGTGCTCTATCATATTTTCCAAGATATATTTTCTGTTTAGTAGTTGCAAACTTCTGAAGATGCATTAAGCACTTCTACTTGATTACTTTCATGTCATACAATTTTTAGTCTCATGAAGATGTGTTCCTTTTTTCTTCCTTCTATAATGTCCTTTCTAATTCATTGTTCTTGTGTTTACAAGGCGCATTATTGATTTCGGTAGTGCAATAGATGAATTTACCATAAAGCATTTATATGGAGCTGTTGGGCCTTCTAGGTACTTTCATTTGTCTCTTTCTTTTTATCAATCTTTTTTGTGAGGTTTCTACTTTCTGAAATTCATTTGTGCTGGTGCTTTCCAAATATATAGTTTTACTTTATTGACCTTCCGTGAACTAGAGAGTTAAATATTTGGTTATATCCTATCTGAAGAAAGTTAAAGGAGTTTAACTTTTTGGTGTATGCTGATGTTTCTATTATCAACTTGAACGTGGTTGATTGGGCCAAAACACCAAGCATTCTGTACCTTTCTTCTCTTTTCTTTTTGTTCTATTTTTTGGATTACAGGGGTAGTATATTACATCTGTGGAAGTCAAGTGAGTTTTTGGATCTTTGTATCTCGATGTAACTCTATTTTGTTAAAACGTGTCTAATAAGACAACCCCCTTATAGTTTGTTTAAAAACCAAACCAAACACACTAGTATGTCCCACTTGAAAGTAGTGTCTAGGGGTGTGATGTACGTAGACATGTCCTTTACCCCAGAGTAGAGCGGCTGTTTCCATGAGGGGCTTGCAAAAAGTTTATGGTGAAAGACAATGTTTCAACAAGTTTGGAAGAAGTTGAAAAGTGGGGAGAAAATTGAGGTCCAAATCGGAAAGTATTTGAAAAGAAGAGCCAAGACTACGTATAACGGTAAGGGATAAAAAGGAAACACGAGTAAGTAGAGAAAGCGCAAGAACAAATTGAGGCAATACTACACACTAAACAACCCTAAATAGTGAATGTTTGAAGCTTCATTACAATTATTGTTCTAGGCAACTTGGATATCATCAAACTTTTTGCTACATTTTACACTTGATTTTTGCAATTTATATATTTTATGACCTTCTCATTGTATCTTAAGTTTTAGAATGTGTTGTGGAGAAAGTGGATCTTTTTCAGTTCCTTCTTTGTCTTTATCAGGGATGAACAAACTTATGAGTACATGCCTCCTGAAGCTTTTCTTAATGCTACTTGGTATCAAGGGCCAACAAGCATAACTACAAAGTATGTCTTTCATATCTTGTCATTGTGAAATCTTTGTAGAATTTAGAATGAATACTCTTCTTTGCTAATTCTTATGAGGCAGTCCTAATTTAATTCCACTATTATTCTATTTTGATAGGTATGATATGTGGAGTGTTGGCGTTGTGATCTTAGAGTTGATTATAGGATCACCAAATGTGTTTCAGATAAATGCCATAACACGGGCTCTTTTGGATCAACACCTTGAAGGATGGAATGAAGGCTTGAAGACGCTTGCTTATAAGTGAGTCTTGCCACTGAGAGGCACAAATGTGCCTGCTAGTGTTTTCTTAGATATATATCTTTACAAATATTTGTTGTGACAGTGCAATAAGAAGGATCGTGTGAGAATAGGAGTTGAGAAGGGTAAGAAGGGATCTGGACCCTTGATCACTTTTAATCTCACCCCCACCCATGAATTGCTCCTCTCACGGGAATTGATCCGGTGCATCTCTGTGCACCGTATTAGTGTTGATCTTCAATGAGAATTGATCCATCGGTGGAGATCCCTTCTTACCCTTCTCACCATAACTTCCATTCTCACAGGAACCGAACCCGAGATTGCAATGTGTCATTTTACCAAGACCATTCATCTAGAGAGACCTACTTGTAGACTGTGCCAAGAAAGTATATGTCCATGCTACAACCAACAATGCCTTCTTTTGCACGTAGTGGTAGGACAGGCATGATGAAGAACATCTTGCTTATATTGTTTTTCCCAAGTCTTGACCTTTCCTAGAATAAACAAAAAAAAAATACGTATCATGTCCATGCCAGGCGTAACAGATTAAACCTGCAAACCTTTTCTTGGCGTCACCGGTGAGGAGAGTAGAAAGCCTGATGGTAAAGGGGGCGAGAAGGAGGGGCAGGCCGAGAACATGGGATGGGCAGCTCAGGATGAGGATGGACATGGCTGCCTTGGGCATTTCGGTATACAATGATGTCTAACAGGAGTTACTGGAAAATTCGGACTAGATTTGTAAAATAGGTGTAGGGGACTGTAGCTAGTGTGGATGGGATGGGGGTCGGATAGGGGGGAGGCGGGAGGGTTAGAGAGCTAGCGGATAGGTTTTCAGAGGCAGACGATAGTTGTAGGGATGTGTGCTTATCTTTACTTTTTCTATATTTCAACGTGCCTTTATTTCATTATGTCCCATTGTGCATCTCTTTTTTCTCTCTTCTATTTTCTACTGCCTACTTTTAACTAGTTTTAGTTCTTATTTTCTTTCTGCTCGCACTTTTGCACAAGCTGGAGGTCTTCACAAAATCAGTCGCCTTACCCCTTGGGGGAAGAGGTCAGGTTTGTGTACATCCCACCCCCTCCCGACCCTAACTTTCCAGTGGAATATACTGGGTTTGTTTGGTTTGGTTTTACAACTGTTTTGATTTTTATCAATTATGGGATGCCTTAAACAGTGTAGACGCTCCTTTTCATTTTGTGGCATGACCTAAGATTTATATATCAACTCTTTATGATCCTTTTCCTCCTCTGGCCTAGGTGGGCAAGTCTGTTGTGATTCACATGTAATATATAACCTTAAGACTTCATGGTTCATAAAAGATTTTGGTCCTTGATTTGACGAGAATCTGCAATGATGACTACTATTTTCTAAGTAAATTTCCAGTCTTGTGGCCTCTAAGATGCAAATATCACAAAGTTATATGGCAGGAGCTCGGTATGAATCAGATAAATGTTCAAAGTGCTTCTTTCCTTGCTTATTATGATTAACTGTTGGTTCTTTGCTCTGGTGGCAGACTTAGGTCATTCATGGAATTATGCATTTTACTCCCTGGGAGTTCCTCAAAACATCTTCGTACTTGGGGCAGTAACGGGAAGGTTAGTTATTAATCTTAGGGTTAAATGCATGAAATATCAACCTATTAAACAAATTTCTTTGTTATAGCATTTTACTTCCATTTTTCTTATTACAACAATGTACTTTCAAATTATTTTTTATTTAGGGCATGGTAGTTTGAAAAATCTACCCATTATAGCAGTGGGTAACTTGTTACCTTTTAAATCGGTTAACCCCTTTTTTGCTTACATGACTTAAATGAGGTGATGTGGATGACATGTCATTCTGATTACGTGGCATAAATAAATAAAAAACTCCAACTCTTCTTTTGATAATTTTCTCATTTTCCCTCCTGATTTTTCATATCCCATCGACATTATGTTTTTTTTAATAATTTCCTCACTTTATTTCCTCACTTACACTTTTTTTTTGTTTCTTCTTCATGGAGTTACATTTTTCACATTTGAAGTACGCATCTACAGAAATGAAATTGCAACTGCTTATTACTACATGCATATCCAAAAAAGAATCGATAAAGCTCTCAGAAATTATAATTATCAAATTAGAAATTGATGTGAATGTTTTTTGAATTTTAGTTTTGAAATACTCTATTATTGTACTGGGGTTCTTCACAAAAACAACCTCTCAACCCCCTTGGAAGGATCTGTAATTGGAAGGATTTGGAATATTTGGTGTGTTCAGTTTGTAAGATATGGAATGGAATTGAATTCCATTATTTATAATTTTTTTATAAAAAACAAATTATAAAAAAATATGAAAACAATTAAATTATCTTTTTATTAATTTATTATTACAAAACAAGTGTTTTAAACATATTTTAAAACATTATTACGAAGAAATCTTACGAAATCCCGCGAAATATCGACTAGCCCCAGGGGATTTCTAAATCTCATGTTTGTGGCATTTCAATGAAATCTTGCAATCCCTCAGAACCAAATATGGGATTAGAATGAGAATTAGTTCCAAATCCCTTCAAATCCTATCCAATCCTACAAACCAAAAGGGACCTGAAGGGGTTGGTCTGGTGTAGTGATAATTCCTTAGGTTTTACTTTGATCTTGTTTTGAGGTGCCGTTTTTTTAGTTGTGTACTAATTAAGGTTTATATATTTAAATTTAGAGCTCGGGTTCACCGGCTTCATGGAAATGCTCGGAGGAATTCTTTTCGAGTCAGATAAAGAGCAGAGATCCTCTTAGAATAGGGTTGGTTTCATTCCCGCTAAGCATATCATTTTATTATCTTTTATGCATCTTTAACTATGGCTTCTTATGTTATGTCTTCTTTTTTCCGATTTAAGCAGGTTTCCGAATGTATGGGCCTTGAGATTAGTTCGCCAACTATTAGTTTGGGATCCGGTAAGTTCTTAGAAGAGGGTCTATTAATACATTAGAGTTGAATAGTGTGTCGATCTTTTATCTCTTTCTTTATGGATATAGAATTATGTTTCTTATGAATGTTCGTTGGGCAAATCATATTTTCCATGGTGAAATGATCAATGTCAACACGGTATACAATTTCCAATGCATGATGCACATATTGTGATGGTTTAGTTGCACACAGACTGGTGCGAAAAAAGTGGGGTTTGGTCAATGAAACCTGAGAAAATTCTGGACTGGTATGGATCTGGCAAGGTAAACACCGAATCTAGACTGACAGAATGGTACTGTCCGATTTGAAAAATGGTCCGGTCTTGGTCTTACTCTGGTACAGTTTGGTTTAGGGTTTTGGTCCAGTTTGTTTAAAAATCATATAGAAAAGGAAAAAGAATCCGGTCTTTATGATGTCCTGATTGGTACAAGATTTACCTGGTTTTCAGACTGGTCCACTTACAGTGTATTGGATACCATGGCACAGGCCACTGCTTTGTTCCTCCGTTGTAGTGTAACAAATTATAGGGTCTTGAAAAGTGCCACCGTATCAATTTGTTGTGTGCCACCATATATATTTTGAAATTACAATGAGGACATAAATTTCCCTTAGTAGAGTTGATTTGCACGGCTTTTCTTCCACCCCAGACCTGAGTCGAATTCCATTGGTGTCATTTTCTTGGTTTTTAGCTTTTAATTTCAGATTTTATTATGTTTCTGAAACTTTTTTACAAAAAAAAAAAGCCTTGAACACAAGACCTTACATATGAAAAATAATGAACTAACCAACAGACCGATGATGCTTTTGTGAAAAATATCCTTATATTTGTTTCTTATAGTCAAATGGGGTCAACCACTTGAAAAAGTCTCTAGGTCCATGCCTGGACCGGTCCACCTGGAAGACGTTTGGATGCTGGTCTGGCCTGATGATGTCATGGTCTGGTCTTCATCCGATCCGACGGCCCGGTCCAAGTGCCCATCTCTACTTGATAGATTGATTTCGTCGGATTTGGTCCATTTGGCCATTCCGGGCCTGGAAAGGGGATCTGCAATCTTTTACTTTGAGTCGATCATGTTTTTATGTAATTGTTTATGCTCTTATATTTTGCACGTCACTCCAGTAACTAATAGAAATTCAACCACAGGAGGATCGATTCACTGTTGACGATGCTTTGAGGCATCCTTATTTTTCGCAGCGTACAACACAATGAAAATTTCCGTCATATACAATGCTTGGCAGGTACGCCTCACCGGCCTTCACTATCTTATGTCTCTTGTTTTTTATAGAAACAATCGCTCTACCCTTTGGATATACCCTGTTTGTTTGGTTTACCATCTTCCGTCTCACTCCTTTGCTGAAACATCCGTTCTATCCTTTGGGGTCGTAGACATGTCTGCCTACATCTAGGGTGTAAACGAGCCGAGTTGAGTAGTAGGTTATTCGAGCTCGGTTCGAAAAAGAAATACCAGGCTTGAGCTTGACTCGAGCTTGATGTTCATTTATGGGATCGAACTTGCGGTTGATTAACTTTTAATTGGCGGTTGATAAATTTTATATTTTTATTGTATGATTTATGAACATGTGATGATGTTCAGCTCGAAGAAGTATATGCTCGAATGGCGTGGCTCGAAAAAAATTTAATCGAGTTTTTGAATGAGACAAGTGGAACATTAGTGTTATGAAGCTCAGCTCGTTAAGTTAAACGAGTTCTATTTTTTTGTTTGAGATTGACTCGAGCTCGAGAATTATTAAGGTCGAGCTCGTTAAAACTTGACTCGTTTACATCCCTACCTACATCCCACCTCCTAGACCTTACTTTCGAGTGGGATATACAGGTTGGTTTGGTTTACCATCTTTTCCTTCCCCCTTTCTAATTGAAACAACCGTTCTATCCATTGCGGTAGTGAACAAGGTCTTCGTACAATCCTACTTCCACCCCAAACCTTATTTTCAAGTGGGATATACTATGTTTGTTTGGTTTACCGTCTTCCTTCCCTTTTCCTTAAAACAGACCTTACTTTTGAGTGAGATATATCAGGGGTGTTCATCTAAACCGCCAAAACGCACAAACCGCTCACACCGCAAAGCGCAGTTTAGAACTTCCGTGGTGTGGTTGCAGTTTGCACTTTTGAGTTATCAAACCGTGGTTCAAACCGCACTACACATTTTATATATGTGTTCAATTTATGTTATATGTATAAGAATCAGGCTAATTTATGAAATATGTTTAGTTTTCTTGGACTATTTTTAAATATGTAATATGTGTTTGGGAATTGGATGTATTTGAACTTATTATTTGTTTGGACCACGGTCACGTTATCGTTGATTCTATAATAAAGTTTTAATCTTATAATTATTGTTCCCAAACCGCACGAGAAACACCCCTATGATATTTAGTGTTGGGTTTGATTTACCATCTTTCATCCTATGCATCCCCTTCTCTTTCAGGACTTCTGCAAACCTTGATCTTGAATACAAGCGATGTAGGAGCCCGCTCACACGTAATTAGGAAAGCTTCACAACTCTTTCGTTAGACCGACTGAAAGCTGATCAAGCTTCGGCACAATGCTTCATCCAATTAACTGGGGAGTCGGGGTTTAATGCGAGCCAGGATCATCGTTATGAGGTGAACTTGGAGTCGCAACCTTGTAATTTTGATTTGTTTTATATGGGTTCGGTCTATTATGTATTGTAGTTTGTTTGTTTGGTAGGTTCTGTATGTATATATCATGGCTCGAGTTGTATACGAATTCATATACGGGTACGAATGAAATATGTAGTAAATTATAAAGAAAAGATTGCATGTTTTCGGTCTAAATCCAAATGTATTGATGTGAAACCTTATAAGATTACTTTCTAACATATATTGAACCTCAACCAGATGTCTAGGACTTGTTTTGTTTGTGGGGTTTGGGTCGTTTATCAATATTTACCACTAAGTGCTTACCAGATCACTTACCTTACATGATGTATATGGTAAAGATCTAGAATTTTACCCGGTCAGAGCGACGATGAGGATCGAGAGTCTTACTTATCAGGTGATAATTCTTACATGGTAGACGCTTACCGGGTAATTTGTTGGATACAATGTCGTTTTAGTGGACTAAAATCTTACCCGGTGAGAAAAGTGATAGTGTTCATTCTCCCCGGGTAACAAACTTGAAACCACGGTGATCATATCTGTAATTAATTCGTTTAGGTGACCCAATCCAAATTTTCATGAAACAACTACAACCAAACAACTATAATTAATGTTGAAATCTTGAAACAGAGAATCCATTAAAATTAAATATAAATTTTAACTTTTAATATTTTTAAAAATTCTTAGAGGATTTGGAGATGACGAAGGATTGTGTAAGAATAAGGATTTAGATGAGAAATGTATAAAAGGATTTGGAGCCTTGCGGTTTAAAATAGAATTGATCTGACGTTTCTCATTAGTGTTGATATAGCGTTTCTCTTTTCAATTAAAATCGATCCAAGGATAAAGAGTTTTTCTTACCATTCTCACAATAACTCTCATTCTCACTGAAATCCAACAGATATAGAGATACTGTAAATCTAACTCCTTTATAAAAGAGGAGTTATGGTTTTCTTGAAATTTTAAAAGGTACATCTAACTAAGCATAATGTACAAGCTATTAAAACTATACTCCCACAATTCTTTCACATATTAAAAAGGAAAAATTGCATCAAAATGGAATCAGTTTTCACTTGATTCCTATTTTGGGTAACCAACTTTCAAAATCGGCATTTAGGGGTCTCTACCAAACTTTTTGTTTATTTAAGGGTCTGGTTGATCTGTTGAACATGTAACAGGTAATTTAATAATCTCTATCAAACTTTTGGTTTGATTTGCCAAATTTGATTTAAACTTTAATATTGATACGGATTGGTTAGATATAAAAATCTTGAATGTGATATTTAATCTTTATTTTTTATTGCATCAATTAATTTTTTTTCTATTAAATTGATTTTTTTATTGCATTAGTAAAAAAACAATTTTTATTGTGGTAATTTGGATTTTTTTAAAAAAATCTTCAATTTAATATTTGAATTTAAAATAAAACGAGATTTAAAACGAAAATTAGATTTTATTGCATTAATTTTTGGTAAAAAACGAATTTTAGTTATTTTTTTATAATTATTTTACAATTTTAAATATGAGGTGAAATATTATAGTTAAAATAAAAAATTAATATGACGTGAAATATTTTAGTTGGCAAAAAAATCTGGATGATATTAGCATTAACAGTTCAACATGTCAATCAGACCCTTAAATAAACAAAAAGTTTGATAAAGACCCCTAAATAACGATTTTAAAAATTGGTTCCCTAAAATAAAAATTTGGTGAAAGTTGGTTCCATCTTGATAAAAAATTTCCTATTAAAAATCAAATCATTTTTTAAGTTTTTAATTACACTTTATACCTTTATAATTAATTATTTAATTTATTTTATATCTTTTAATTTTTTATTTTACATTTTAGCCTTTACTATATTAACCTGTATATGAATTAAAGTCGTTTTTTCAATTATATCATTAAAAAATACATTTTTTACATCTAAATATTTGATGTCATTTTCGATCGGTTATTAGAGTAGAAGAGAGTATGTGTGAAAGATCTGGAAGAGTCAATTTGTTGCACGTGGCAAGATATAACGCGAACACGTCAAGAAGTTTCTCGCGTCGTCCACAAAAACCAGTTATTCGTCACCTTTTATAACTCCTCCCCATTCACAATTTCTTCCTCATCAATCTACAATTTGTTCGAATTTTCCGATTTTGGAACTCTAATTTCTCAATCTTTGAATCGATTCTGAGTCGAATAACCGAATTTTCCCACTGATTTCATAAAGATGATGAGCCAGAGCCAACTACCGGTTCGGAAGGCCGACGTGGAGTCGGGAACAAGCCGAGATCTGTATCCGATGATGTTGGAGTCGCCGGAACTCCGGTGGTCGTTTATTCGGAAAGTATACTCCATCGTCGCCATACAATTACTCCTCACCGTCGCCGTTGGTGCCGTTGTCGTCTCTTATCGTCCCATCGTCACTTTCTTAACAACTACCACAGGTGGATTGGCTTGTTACATTCTTCTAATCATCACTCCATTCATCAGTAAGTTATCATAGAATCATTCATTTTTTGTTTGATTTCTTCTGTATATGATCATTTGTGGTTTGAATCTGTGTATAAATCGTTAATTAATTAGGATCGATTTGATGTTGTACAGCCTTATGCCCGTTGTATTACTATCATCAGCGTCATCCAATCAACTATTTTCTTCTCGCGATCTTCACTGCGTCTCTTGCTTTTGCAGTCGGTTTGACATGCGCATTCACTAAAGGTAAGCCCTCGATATTATCCCTAAATTCGTGTTTTATAGGAGTAATGTTCATGATTTGATTTCGAATTGCTGTCATAAATTAGTGGAATTAAAAGAAACAAAATGGTGGATTTGGTCCTCCATTCTGAGTGATCTTCATCCATATGGTATATCGAATGTCGAATGATGCATTAATTTGCCTGATCTTCGGATTTCTTGTTGATGCATATGATCATACGGTGGGTATACATACACACTGGTGTATCTAGCTCAATTCTAGATTATATCAAGCAATTAGAGATTATAACCATTTAGAGAGATTATATATAAGGTTTGTTCTTGAAAGTTATGCTACATGTCACATTAATTGTACATTGTAATATATGATAAATATTAATATCTTAAAACAAGTTTAGTCTTGTTTTTGAACGCAAAGGCTAACGATCCTTCGAATCAACTATTACATTAATTGTGCATTCTAATATATGGTAGGAATCTGTAGCATGGAGCTCTAAGTTTTTCCTACTTACTATGTCCATCATTTTATCTGGTCGTACACTAGTTTTGGCTTTTCTTTTTTATATTTGTCTACATTGTGCTTTGTCTTTACTTGCTCATTTTTAACGGGAAATTGATCAAAATAGCTAATCTTCCCGACTAAATCCACTTTTTAGCCATTTAAAAAAACCAAATTCTCATCTTAATAAGATATTACTGGGAAAAGCCTATTTTCATATTGAAAACAAAAAGGGAAAAAAATGTTTACGCAAATGAGAATCCTTACGTAAATATTTAAAGCTTTCTTTTTTATATTTTAATCTTAAAATCGAGTTTGCACGAATGCATTTTCGTAAGCTCTACATGTGATTAAAAAATGAATTTGATCGGAAGATTAACTATTTTGGTCGATTTCACTGTTTTAACCTATATTCCTCATATTTGTCCTTGTTGCCTTGTCTATTAAAGGACCCATTGCTTTCCTTGACCAATCTCTTTCCTTTTTAATTTTTGTTTTACATGCTTGTTTCTCCACGGAAACAACTTTTCCTCCCTTTGTGGTGGACGTAAGGTTTGCATCGGTGTGAGATTTACTAGGTGTCAATTTAACTGTGTGTGTCTGGACCAGTTTCTTGACTAATCCCATGGTGTCCTGGAAAACAGTCAAGAAAATCCCTAATGGGTATGGCGAGACTAGAACCGGAGGAGCCCCAAAGGCTCTAGCCTAACCCCTCGAGGTTAACGATATTGGTCTTGATTGGTAGGAATGCGACTTCTTGTTCTTTATCATAATGTTGGTGAGAGATATGTTGAGATTCCTATTTTGTGTCGGAAAACCAATTAACCGTTCGACATTGATCAATAGAATAGATTGCTCATATTGTTTGACGATATTAATTGCAGGGAAGGTGATCCTCGAGGCGGCTATTTTAACCGCCGTGGTGGTTGTGAGTCTCACTTTGTTCACATTTTGGGCCGCAAGGAGAGGCTATGACTTCAATTTCTTGGGGCCGTTCTTGTTTGGTGCCCTTATGGTTCTTTTCGTCTTTTCCCTCATCCAGGTTCGTTTTTGTGTGAATGAGGTGCTGTTTGTTTCTTTTCACATTAAGCCGTCAGTATATATGAACTAAATTGTCTGTATGAATATTAGTACATATTCCATGATTTGGGCTTTCTTTTGTGCAGCTATTCTTTCCTCTGGGTAAGACCTCGACAATGATATACGGGTGTTTAGGAGCCATAATCTTCTGTGGGTACATCGTCTACGATACTGATAACCTGATCAAACGCTATACATATGACGAGTACATTTGGGCTGCAATATCTTTATATCTCGATATCCTCAACCTATTCATGTCGTTGCTTACCATCTTAACTGGGGCCGATGATTAGAAGTATGATCGTCAGGTGGTTGTTAATATTGATTTGCACGAACAATTACAGTTTTGATGGAGTCTGTGGATAAATGCAATAGGAATTGGTAAATATTGGTTGATGTTGTTGATGGGTAATTTCCTGTCTTTTAAACGGTAGCTATTTGTTTAACGTTGAAAGAGTCCCTTTCTTTTCGAGAAATGGTTTTTACGAGGCTAAATACTTGCGAGCGTCCTCGTGAAATCGAAGGAATTGAAGATAAAAGAAGAGTTCGTATGCCAGAAGAAAGTATTGACATGTGATTAGATAGATATTCATTAGCTATATATACCAGATGCTATGTACCTGCCTTGTTGTTGAATCTAAATAATAAAAGTTGCATGTTTTTAGCCCATTTAAGTCGAGGATCCCGTTCCGTCTTGCTCGCCCGCTTTATCGTCTTGCCGTTTGTCTGGTTGTTGTTGTTGCTAGTGTGAATCGAGTCAAGTAGCAGATTGTTGTCCAATTATGTAATATTGACCATTTCAACAAAATCCAGTGCCTAATTACACTCATATTTTATTTACAACGAGATATAAAATATCAAAAGGTAAAAGTTACATAATTTTATCAGAGATCATGTTATAAGTGGATTTTATGATATTTTTATTTCCAGTTTTCTTTATTTCTGAACTTTTGAAAATTGATAGTGTTCTTACATATGACCGATAAAACGGCATGTTTTTATTCCCTTTCATGATATAACGACGATAAAAATTGCATGATGTGCAACTCAATTACGACAACATCATTAAAAGTTCTAATTTATAGTCTAATTTATGCTATAAATTAGAACTTTTTACACGCTAATTGATCTTATCAAGCATGCGTTAATACCACAAGTTAACCTATCTCGAGCTTTAGCCATAAATGAACTGATAAAACCTAAACTTTGGATCCACAGTATATATGTAAGTCGAGTTTGTTAAACAAGCTTCAAACTTGAACTCAAATATTAAAAAAAATACTGTGCAAGCTCAAACAAACCGCTATTCAATTCGTTAAACACCAATTATACTTCTGATGCATGTATAGATCTCGACTCTGGTTAACTTCCATGACAAATGAGAATACAAAGATTTTTGCAATTTTCTCTAATCGTATCAAATCTGGGATTTTTGTTGATTTGAATAAAGAATAAATATAGTATTCAACTTTTTAAAACATGTAATTAATGTCGATTATAAAATTATCAAATATAAAAAAAACATTTAAAATATATTATTTTTCGTATTCAAAACATGTATTTATACTATATTATAAAACATTTGACAAAAACTATTAAAAACTATTTTTTATGCATGAAGTACTGTATATTAATGCATATTACTTAAAACTTAAGACTACAAGTAAATTGTGCGTAAGTACATCTTATTAAAACTTCATCTTTGAATTCGTATAACTAACTATGGATAAATATAATCAAATACAAGATAAACATCTCATTTTAAATATAAAAAATCTAAAATATAATTAGGATAATTATTGAATTCTAACAGAATCATTCTCTTTATAAAAATTATATTGTTAAGACAAAAATAAATTACTTTGCTATCACTATCAGACTTTAATTAAATTATAATAAAAAATTAAATTAAAGAAATTATACAAAAAATGATAATTTTTAAATAGTTAATTTAATATTAATGTTGATATATTTTTGTCAAATTTTTATGATATCTTTGCAAATTTATTTTTATTTAAAAATAAAAACATTATCATTATCGAAACTACATAAACCGTATTATATCAATAGATACAAAAAATAAAACGAAATATTAAAATGAAGATGTATCTCACTGCATTGCGCGAGTATACATCTAGTTATTATATTATAAAACATTTGATAAAAACTTTTAAAAAACAATTTTTTATGCATGAAGTATTGTTTATTGAAACATATTACTTAAAATTCAAGATTACAAGTAAATTGTGTGAAAGTGCAACTTATTAAAGCTTCATGTTTGAATTCGTATAACTAACTAGAGATAAACATAATTTAGGGGATAAATATCTCATTTAGATATAAAAAATTTAATTAGGATAATCATTAAATTATAACAAAATACTTAAATATTATCTTTATATAAAAAATATATTATTAAATCAAAAATAAAAAAAATGAATACAAAAAAAAAATTTAAATAGATAGTTTGGTATTAATATCAATATTTTTTTCACTTCTTTATGATATCTTCATATTTATATCTCATTCAAAAATAAAAACATTATTGTTTTCTCAAAACCACATAAAACCATATTATAACATCGACTGAGACAAAAAAACACAAAATATTAAAATTAAGATGTATCTCGCTGCATTAATAAATACAATATCTCATACATGACTTCTTTATATTGTTTTAAACATGTTATAAATCGTAATATCATTTATAAATTATCAAATACGGACACAAAAAAAAAATCATAAAAAAAAAATTAAAAAACATATTATTTATCTTTTTAAAACATTGTATTTCATTAACATATGTATAATAATACGTATGTAATGCACTTTTGTATTTACATCAGACACCGATCAAAACAAGGGTGGTGTCTGATTGGTTTAATCTTGAACTTCAAATGTCAAAAATGTCGGTTTCATGTTCAAATCCAAGAAGGAATAAAAATCTCCTTGTGACTACAAAAATTCAAATACAATGACTCCAAACTACCCGTAAAACAAGTGATCATCATGAAATTAATCGACTCGCATAACGAGTTATAAGAAAGGAATAGACACCCAACATTTTACAATGACATAGAAGAATGTAAGTCAATTTATGGTATAAAAAAGAATAGACACCCAACACTTTACAATCACATGTCTTGGCTTTTGCTCTAAGTATCACATGGCCATGGATACCCACATTCATTGGTCTTTCATAATCTTCACCATCCCTACTTTTTTAATTTCAAAAAACTTAATTTATATGGTGACAAATTGGAGTTTTATAAAAAGTGTTTGGATTAGCTTATGGTAATACCATACCGGATAAGTTAATAAAATAGATAGAGATACCTTTTTCTTTTTCCATCCAAACACTAAAACTTCTTATTGTCAGTACCACATCGGAATAAGTTAATAAGTTATAAACATCAAAAACTCCTTATTACTGGTGCCAAACAGGTATAAACATTTTTTTTCCCATCCAAACACTAAAAACTCCTTATTACTGATATCACACTGAAATAAGTTAATAAGCAATCCTAAATACCAATCTTATCAAAATTTTAAGATTAAAAAAGAGTCATTAGAAAATATGTTGAAAAATTGATGTAGCTTTATGGTATCCAAACATGGGTCTCACTCAAGGTCACTTCAATACTTTTAAGAAGTGCATTACATTTGGTCTACAATTCCTTTCAAAACATTGAGAACCATAAGATATAAAAACATAATCTTGTGATTCATATTTGATGCAAAGATTAACTATGTAAGAAATACAGTTGTACGGGTCAAAATCAATCAATCAATCACAAGGGTGGTGTCTGATTGATTTGAGTTTAAGCTTCAAAGGTCTCGTATTCAAATCCAAGGAGGAATAAAGATCCCTTGTGGTCACAGATGTTTAGATGCCGTGACTTCGGGCTACCTGCAAAGGAGGTGGTTGCCCTTGGGATTAGTCGGCTCGTATAACGGGTTAGATATAAAAAAGGGTCAAAATCGTCTTTTGCCAATTGCATTTACATCATGTTATTAGTTAAAGATGTGATTTCGTCTCTTTGTGACCAGTCGAATGGCTGTTTCAAGGACTCTCATGCCAATAAGTAAAACAATTCTACAGTTTTACTTGAACATATATAATAAACATGAATCATAAGTTAATATGCTCTAGCCACACCTAGACCTAGACCTAGACCTAATTAACATCAATGGGCTAGTGGGGATCCAAACCTCAGCCTTTTTTAACGTACATCAATCAGGTATTGTCACAGACGACATAGGTCGTGACCCTAAACACATTTTTGTCTGCATTTGAACAATATTCATTTGGTTGAAATTTGTGGACCAAATTTGATTACAAAAATCCATTGTTATTTTGAAAAAGAGGGTTGTTTATTAGAGATTATGACAACACCTATAACTTTTGGGGAATAAAATGAGACTTTTAGAACTTTGGTTGTCATGAAATAAGACCAAAGTTGATGTATGAATGAAAGAGAATATTTTATTTGTTTTTAAAATGGGAAAAATCTCATAAATTTTGTTCTGTTATAATTAGACTGGGTTTATAGGACGTATAAAGTGTTTAAGTGTCTTAATTGAATGTTTTATATGATCAAAAAATAAAGTATCGTATCTAAAAGTGTTACAATAAGTTTATAGGACACTTTCGAGAGTCGTAACAAGTTTTTCAAGATCTTTTTGAAATAAAGTGTCATATTAACTATTTTTTATAAGATGTTTTTTTTTTTTTAAATATCCTATAAACTCGCCTTTTTTTTTTATAGGATCCTTGTGTTTACAAGACACATTTTCAAATAGTATCCTATAAAATAGTTAATACAACATTTTACTTTAAAAAAAATTAAAAACTTGTTATGACGTCCAAAGACGTCCTATAAATTTATTGTAATACTTTTAGATATAACGTTTTATTTTTTGGTCTTATAAACTTAAGTCCTATAAGACACTTTATTAGGATATTAAAACAGACCTGTAAACTCAATTTTGTTTTAATAAATATGTCTTATTTTTAATTCTAAAAATTAACGTAAATACAGTTAAATATAAAAAAAAATTAATATCTATATTATTGTAAGTAGAGTAACGTACTTTCAAAACTTAATTTCTATTTTGGGTAACGTACTTTCAAAACTTTCATTTTGGTACCTAAGATGTAAAGTTTTAAACATTTAAGTACCCGGATAACCAACCAATTGAAGCATTAACCGGTTACCATGTTGATGTGGTATCCGGTTAATGCTTCAGTAAATAATACCATTTGATACCCGGTTTATAAAATGGTATTATTATCTGATTTTAGCAGATAAAAGATTTAAAAAGTAATACATTTTAAAATACAAATTAAATGGAGAATTGGAATTACAAGAAAAGAAAAAGGGAATTGAATTTAATGGGTGTTTTTGGCCTTTTATGGGTGGAAGCTTTTGATGGGAATCAATTGTTTTCTTCTTTTTCCCTTTTATTATTGAGCATTCATTTTCTAATTTTGGATAAATAAATTAAATGCATGAAAATGATTAATTATTAAGACTAATTACTTCAAGTAAATTTAATATGGCAAATTACATATAAAAAATAATAATGTATTTTAATTTGATTTCTATTTTTAGTAACGTATTTTCAAAACTTTATATTTTATAAACTTCCATTTTGGTACATAAAATATAAAGTTTTAAACATTTAAGTACTTAGGTTTCGATTGAAACATTAACCGGT